TAGTACCACCAAGTGGCCCATTTTGGGAAATTACTGGGGTACACCTGTGACAGAAACATGTGTGACATACATAGACCCTCCAAATACCACCAAAGATGGCAAGAGTATAGGACTTTGGTAAAATGACATATTTTATAAGGGTATTTTTGGAACATTTAGGTATGGATGTTTCAACAGTTCAACAAATATATTATCTGCGGTAAAGGTATCCTGTGGCCAGTGTGATCCCATAGAGTTTGGATTCTATCGGAATGCCTACTTTGTGATCATCCACTTTCAACTTTATCTCCACCAGATAACCAGCTTAGAGCTAGTGCGAAATTTCATGGTGATATGACTATGGCCTTTTTATGAGCCGGTGGGGTTGCTGGTTTCCCCTAATCAATTTTTAGTGACCCACCCACCACTGGGACCGCTTTTGCAAAGGTTGGCTCTGCAGAGCATTTTGGAAGGATCATTCGGCAAATTGCTCGTGACACTAGGCGTGTGCTGTTCAAGCTGGGTAGTGGCAAGCAGAGGGAGTTCAAAGCGAAGTTTCCTAGTACCAATGGGTTGCACCCTGTACGACACTGTGGTGTCAGCCAACCAAATGGTGGCACGGACACCCAGCTGCCATTGGTAAGATTGATAAGTTTCCTTTCACTATATCATCTTTAATAATGTGGAGGAATCTGTGTGTGTATAGACCTGACAATGTAATGTCTGGGCCCTCCAAGTACTTATATATTAAGATCTGCATTTACACCAGAATAGTTTCATTCTTATTGGTTTTAGAGGGTATGATATATGTATATATGTCAGTCTTAAGATATACATATATATATATAACATTTATTTTTTTAGGTTGTGACAAGGATGTCTTTGGGCAGGATGACTATGTTGTATCCTTTCAAAGACAACCTAAGGTGTGCACTTTTGATTTTGATCGTGACGGCCATGGAAGCCGTTTATGTGCTGGAACAACCATCCACTTCACTTCTCATGCTCCATGAGAGGTTTGTGTGGCTAGTGGCGACCTTGGAAAATTTGGGAATCAAAGTACCTCCGTTCATGTGTTGGCATTTTTTCGCCCCCGCAAGATACCTTGTTGGTGTTTCTGTGCGTGTTCCCGTTTCCAGGTCCACAACTAACACATTTATAGTATTATAGTAACTGTTTGGGAGTGCCACTGTTTTGGGCTTCGGGGTCCCAAGGAATTCTTTAAGGTTTGTTAATGGGGCATCTATTGAACATACTTTGAATTGGCACTTCCTATAGCAACCAAGATGTTTCGCCAGCACTTTTGGATGCGAGCTCTTCAACACCCTACACCCAAGAGATCCGTTTTATTTTCCAATAGTGGCTGGGTGAACCAGTTTTCATTTGCTGCGCGAATGAAGAAGACCGACCTCAAGTCTGAATTTTCCACCACAACCCGATATGTATCCCGAAGTGGGAAGGTTCGCTTCAAAGGGAATGCTATGCTCAAATCTACTCAGAATCTTGTTCTGGTTTTGTAAGACTCTGTTGGGGCTGCAACCACCTCCAATAAGGGATAGACAACGGAACTTGGGGATTCATGGGGTGTAATTAATTGGACCTTTAAACTTCAATGGAGTGGGGTAGACCATTTATTTATATATCATGTGGGGTTAGATCCTCGGGGCTGTCGCATTTTTGGGGCTACACCCTTGTCCCTTTTTGCCTGAGAAAGTCTGATTTCTCAAAGCCAGCAGCCCCACTGCAGCCAGCAACTGCTCGAGGCTTTACACTTGGTCTTTCTCTCGTCGGGTCCTAGAAGTTCGGGAACTTGCCCAATTTGAGGCACGCAAGCACCCATCTGTGGATGGTTCCAGCCCTGACATTCACCTGAATGGTGTGCTTTGTTTTGCGGATTCTACCATGTGAGAAAGCATGAGCCCACCTTAAGATACTTCAAACTTATGAAGTTGTTTCAAAGTCTACCGCCTATAGGGGTCTTGGTTCTAGCACCTTGGTGGCTTATTTCTGTTGGTACTAATGTTGGAAGTTTGTTTCCCATTGGGGTACCTGGACCTTCTATTTCCTTATAATCGGGAAATTGTTTGTTTCCGGTTGGGGTAATTGTTGGTACTGATTATCCGTAGATTTTTTGGGGATAGTGGTGCTATGTCTTCCCCAAGGAAGATGATTGCAGCGACGCTGACATCATCAGAATGTACCAAAATCTTCCTGAAGATGACCCATGGGGAGATGCTCTCATGAATGAGGTAGTGAGCTATTTGCTTTCTTGCCGCTTGGTGAGAATTCCACCTGAGTGGCAGCATGTCTTCCCAGGTGCATGGGCCCAAAGGCAGCCGTGAAGACATTGAACGGCTGACACCTTGTCAAGGTCATGATACGGAACTGGGATGAGTATCTTTTTTTTCGAAAAGTACTTTTTTGCCTTGGGGCACCCGGCCGACCCGTCCGAAAGTACGGGAAAAAGCGTCCAAAGTACGGAAAAAGCCGTCCGTCCCGGACCCGTCCGGCAAGAAAGTACTTTTTTTCCAGAAAAGTACTTTTTTTAGGTTTTGGCCATCCATCCGCCCGTCCGTCCGCCCGTCCGTCCGTCCGCCCGTCCGGCCGACCGCCCGTCCGGCCGACCGACCGTCCAGCGTTGAGCTGGCCATTGCTTGAGAGGTGATATGCGGGCTTTGTGCGGTGAGCACGTCTAGCCTCTGGATTTGCAACCAATGTCACAGTAGTCCTTAATGGGATTTGTACCATAGCCCCACGAAGGGAAAACACATATTTTAAAAGGGTGTAGCTGAAAGAGGGGCTATGGCAGCCCGAAATGATTTGAGTGCCGAAACCTTCTCTTGTTTTACCAAATGTTGTGATGTTGGTTAGACATGACATGTGGGCACCCATCGTGACTTTGATTTCCTTCGATACATATGGGAACAACCTGACAACAGAATAGTCCGGGGTGTTTTTTACAATGTAGGAATACCAACTGTAATTATGGGGTTGGGGTTCCCAAGTTTGAGACAACTTCGCTTTTTGAAAGCTACTTGCAGATGCTATTGGGTGACAGGCAGAAAGAAAGAGAGAGAGAGAGTTTTATAGGGGCTTCTTAAAATGGGAATTTCCCCAGCCATAGATTTAAATACTAAAATGGTCTAACGTTGCATAATTTGAAGGAAATTCCTATTTAGGAAACCCCCATATCTGTGTGTGTGTGACCAAAATTAAAAGGGTTAGTTCCTGTCCCTGGGGCATTCTAAGTCTATTTATAGCTGTAGCTTTGCAAAAGCAAATTTATACCAAAGTTTGCCTGTCAAAACACACTAAGAGGGCTGTTTGAAGGATACATATGGGCAAACAAAAATAATGGGCATAGGTAATTCAATTTTGGGGTGACTATTGTTTATGACATCACGCGGTATATGTCGTTTACATTCTGGTTTCGTGTTGAATAATAACTTGGGGGAGAACCTTGCGAAGGGTGTCCTAAATTTTGGGTTGGACCCTAAACCGGCTACCTTTAACACCAACAAATTACTTTTATTTTGGGATGTGGTGGGCCTAGGTATAGAATTCGATTGGGGATATCCACCAAACAAGAAGTAGTAAACCAGCAAGTTTAGGCTTAAATCGTTGGCCTCAAATGTGGTAGCAAACATGTTTTTGCTCAGGGTATGGTCTAGCTTGTGTATGTCAGAACTCGTACCCACCATGGGATATAACGTCATGGTTCCAACCTCTTCCCTCTGGGGGTCCAATCTACAGCTCCCAAAGAACATCCAAGCCCCTTGAAACAGGTGCTGAAGTAATCCCAAAAGAAACCCGGCCAGTTTTGCGCGCTGATGCCAAAGGCATTGTGGAGTGAGAGAGAGTGTGTGTGTGTGTGTGTGGGTGTGTATGTGTGTCTGTGTGCTTTTTGGTTACAACCGAGTTGCCGGATTCTCACGGCTGGGTTTAGGCCCGATTCAGCTGGGTATGACCAAGCGTTTTTTTAGTTCCTTAGCTTCTGCGCTCTGGGAATCTGATGACCATGGTTTTTGTGGAGAGACAGTGTGATGATGTAGTCAAGCAGCATTAGAAAAAAAGAACAGAAAACTTTTCAAGAATCGAAATCTGCCGAAGAGAATGAACTTTTTAGCGTTTCAGTACCCAAGATTTTGCCTGACACTGATTCTCCCAGAGCATCGGATCTTACCAATGCTTGGCCGGATCAAACTTGGCTTTCATGTTTGTCGGAAAGAATCTGGACGCTTACGCGGCTGAAAAATAAATATTGCCACAGTTGAGCAGGACCATGAACGCCAAGCGCAGGATACTGTTCCAGCTGTGCAATTCACTGAAAGCTACTGCCGGCAGCGTGTTGGGCCACTGGGGGTTGGAAGATTAGCGCTGTATACCCAGCAAGTGCCCATGTGTCTTGTCTTGAAGATCGGGAGGGCTTCCAGCCCTGTGAAGCGGTGACAACACCCACTATACATATATTTGATTTTCCGAAAATGGCAAGGGATGATAATGCCTTTGATGGTCAACACGTCATTTTGCGCGGCAAAAGCTGAAAGTGCATTAATTCGCATTCTTCGTGACGCACTGGGTTGCAGCAACGTTTAATCCAGGAGATGAAACACCTTCCCCAGAAGAAGGGCCTCATTTTACTTATTATGTTGTCTACAAGAATTTGCTGCCGCCCTGAAACGTCGAAGGCTTTCGTAATTTGATTGCTCGAAAAAAATGTTGCAGGTAGCCGGCAGCAAGTGTGGAATCACATTTGCGGCCTACAAATCAACCGTCGCCTCTCTCTGCACGCAGTATGGGGGTTAAAACGAAGGAGTTGCAGGCATCCAGTTCCATTTCAAGCTTTGCTGAGAAGGACCGTCAGTGAGGCTGTTGCATTAGTCTTGGTTTTGCAGGTTGAAAACCCATCCAAAGTCAAAGCGGCAGCTGATTGTTTTCATAGTCTTCATTTGCTGGCATTTTCTGGGCAGCCTTGGACTGCCTTGTACCAAAGGAACTTAGGACGTGTTAGTGTGCACACGATGGCATCGGATCCGTCTCGGGCGAAGGCTTCCCTTCGCAGTGGTTCGAGCTTGGTGCATGGGAACGAAGTTCTTGCGAGCCAGCAAGTTAAGGTTGAGCCCGACACTCAAGCAATGGAGAATGAACTTCAGGCAGGGTGTGCATCGCACTACTGTTTCAAGTTGTGGCATTTCCAAAGCTCTGATCAACACATATAACACAATTAAAAAGACAATGTCTCGAAGTTGTTGGCACGAGGGCCAGTCCGGGAAAAAAAAGCCCAGTATGTGCACAATCTTTACATACCTGTATTTCTTTGGCAACCTTTTCCGCAAACACCTGCTTCCTGACAGGAGTTGCGACGCCGGAAAGAGCTGTTGGGTACAGGGAAGCCCTCTAAGGCGTTGCCCTCTAAGGCGTTGCCCACGGTTGTTTCCACAACCACGCCCCAGAAGACCTTGAAGAAGCAGAAGGTGGGAGATGACGGTAAAGGACGTGATCAGCCAGTGGAGGAGGCCAAGGAGATGAGTGACCATTCCCCTTCGGGCCACGCGCCACAATCTCCACTCAGTCCTTCGCCTCTTAAGCCTAAGGAGATATTCCCTCAGGCGGAGCAGGATGCTCAGACCCAATCATGTCACAAGACACCACCCTGGAACAAGAGCTCTCCCTTTCATGCCGAAAGGTGGGAGGACATTGGTTCTAAACAGTGTCAAGGTCACTGTTGAGATTTGAAAATTTCCCTCGTGAAATCGCATGTGCCTGTAGGAACATATGGCAACATAATATATAGATGTAGTGCAGCTGTACCTTTTCCAAATGGTGGAAAACCACACGCCCATTCCAGCTCCAACCTGGTCATGGATCTCAGGCGCATCAGCCTGCGCCTGCGCCTAGGAGACACGTGCTGCGGAGAGGAGTGATGCTTCCCATCCTGCGGCTACGGGTGAAACCTCGGACGAGATCCTGGCCCTCAGGTCGGAGAACAAAAAGCTAGCAGATGAGAACATGCACTTGGAGGGTGAAGTTGCTGAGCTTAGGAGGGAGCTTGCAAACTTCAGTGCGCCGTCTTTTGTTTCTTCTCCTGGGTTGCTGGCTGTTTTCGCTGTTCGCAATCTCAAAGTGTCCTGTCCTGACACTTGGCCCAAACATCATGATCTTGTTGAAGTCATCCGTGTCCTGGAAACTACGTCCGCTTGTGATCAGCAACAAGAACAACGTGCCCGTCTTCAGTCGTGGCGTCAGTCGTGTCGTCGCAGGTGGCGTGATCCTCGGCAGAAGCGTTTTGTTTACACTTGGGTGCGTGATGCTTGGCAACCACCTGTGGCTTCTGTGTTGGACTCCGATAAAAACATCCTCTCGATGGACCCTTCGGTTATTGAGAACGTGCTTTGGCAAAAGTGGCAGCCCATTTTCTGTCCTGACCCGGACCAAGAGTCCTTGCCTGACTTTGATGCCTTTTGGAATCGTTTTGGTCATTACACAGTTGCTGCCCCGGTTACCTTGCCGCCCTTGACGGGCGTACAGCTGCGTGATGCTGTGCTTCGCATGTCTGACCATTGTTCTAGTGGGGCTGATGGCTGGGCTATCTCCGAAATCAAAACGTGGCCTCCTTTGCTTTTTGACAAACTAGCTGAGCTCCTGTGTGCGGTTGAAGCCTCCGATGGTGACTGGCCGGAAGATCTCCTACTACAAATTGTGACCCTTGTGCCAAAAGATGAATTTGACCAACGTCCGATCTCTGTCAATTCGGTCGTCTATCGCATGTGGGCTTCTGTCAGGGCAACCCAACTTTGCTCTTGGCAGGAGTCTTGGGCGCATCCGACACAGTTTGGCTATCGTCGTGGCAAGCGTAGTGTTGACCCTGCTTGGTGTTCTGCTGCTGCTGCTGAGCATGCCTGGCTATCACAGGCCCATCGCGTTGGGTTTTCCTTGGACCTGGCAAAAGCATATGATCGCATTCCGCATGAGATCCTCTACAAGTGTTTGATTGCTTCTGGTCTTCCGGTCAACTTTTGCAATACTTGGCTTTCGGCAATTCGTGGTGCTCGCAAATACTTGAAGTCGGCTTACGGCTTGGGTCGGTCTTTCCATGTCACCCGTGGTCTTCCCCAAGGTGATGCGTTAGCGTGTTTTGGCATGAATCTCATCATGTCCATCTGGTCCCGTGCTGTGGAATCTGAATCTGATGTCTTTGTCCGTAGCTTTGCTGATGATGCAACAGTCGAAGTTGAGCGACCTGACCCATCCATTGCGGCCGCCCAGCTGCAGAAGGCTATCTCGGTTACTGAAGAGTTCACAACCCTGAGTGGCCAAAAACCAAATGTTGGCAAATGTCATGTGTGGTCCACCTCTCGCAAGGGTCGCAAAGCGCTTCGTGGTTTGAAGATGCTTGGTAAACCTTTAGTGCAAAAGTGGCATGCAAAAGACCTTGGCTGCCAAACCCTGTTCTGTGGTCCTGCTCGTTCAACTTTCTTGCAAGCCCGTTTTGCAAAAGCCCGCAAGACGGCCAAGCGTGTGCAGTGTGCTCCGTTGAGGCTTGAAGATAAAGTGCAGTTGGTTACTGGAGCTGCGTCCAGTCTGGCCAACTATGGTCTTGAAACTTGTTTCATTGGTGAAAGTGCACTTGCTCGTGTCCGCAGTGCTGTAGTCATGGCCATCTGGAATCATCGCAGACGGTTTCGTTCGTCGCATGCAGTGCTGTTGCTCTTCACTCAGTCGCACTTGACCGACCCTTTCCATGCCCAGGTGTATCAATGTCTTACAACCTTGAAACGCTGTCTGTCTCAAAATCCAGCAGCGCGTGCTATTTGGGAACCTTGGTGGTTGAAAGCTTCTGGTCGTGACCCTCGTCGTCCTCGTGGCCCCGTCACCTTGTTGTGCAATGTGGTTCGTCGTATCAAGTGGTCCTGGGTATCTGCTTGGACTCTTCGAACTCATCAGTACATTGACCTTGACCTTCTAAATACAGACTCTGACTTGTTTGCGCGTCATGTTCGTGAAGCTTGTCGTGTGCATGGTTGGCAGCAGGCACTTGGTCTTCACAAGCACTTTGAAGGAGCCCAATGTGGTGTTGATCGCTCGGCCTCTGTTCACTTGTCTGAGCAGAGCTTTCTGTCGACTCATGATTGTCGTCTCCTTCGCTCAATCTTGACGGACGCTGTGTGGACTGCTTCGCGCTTGTATCATGCTGGTCGACTCCAGACCTCGGCGTGTCCTTGTGGTCATGACCACCAAGACACGGAGCATTTCTTTTGGTTGTGCCCTCACTTACAGGACATACAAAGCAGGCATGGTCGCCTTGTCTCTTTGCGTGCCGACACTGGCCCCTGGCCGTCTTGTTTGGAGCTGTGTGGTCTTGTGCCCTTGAATTTCGAGATCCCAGGTTACGATCACATTCAACTGGCTCATTTAGTGCAAGCTTACCTGCTTGATGTGGTGCGTCGCTCATGGGATTTGGGTTGGCCGAATTCAGATGACAAACCGCAAGAGGAGAGTCAATCCTCTGCTTTGCCTGTGGAACCCTTGCCTTTGAAGCTTCCGTTGGAACCACCCAAACTGTCATCTACCACTTTTCCTTGGCCTGAACAGTTCTGTGTGGATTTGCTTAGCTTCCTGAAGACCTTGACATGGCCCAAGCAGCCGACCCCTAACGGCATTTCGTGGGCAGAGTTGGTGGTGAATTTTGAGATTGTTACTGGCAAGGCACTTCCTCGCAACCCTGGTCGAAGTCGTGCTAGACACTTGCGTACATATGGTGAGGCAGCTGTGCCCCTGCTTGAGGCTCCTGACAATCTTTACAAGAAAGTTTTGACCCTGTCCAGTGCTTGTCGTTCCTTTGCGCGCCTGATCGGTGCACCCGTGGTTGTGGGCCGAGAGACTCGAAATGTTTGTATTCCTGGTTTGCCGGGAAAACACAGATACCGTGGCTTGGATCGTCGTCCAGTGATGACCATGGATGCAGAGACTTCAGAAGCCATTCGTGCGTGTTTGCATGACAGGATCGCGGTTGAGATCAATGTTTCCTCGGCAGATATCACTGCTGGTCAGACTGGTGCTGCAAATCCGGCTGAGTTGGCATACAAAAAAGTGCATCCGCTCAAGTGGAACACACCTGTTGCTTCTGATGTAGCCACATCCGAGGCTGCTGGGGAAACTGTTCCACCTAAGAACAAGTGTGAGGATCCGAAACCTGTAAAAGACACAAAGACTTCAGACAATGACACCCATGATGCTACTAAGGTTGGAAACCGCTGGACATGTCGAAAGTGCCCTTGCACTTCTACTGCATCTAACAGTACGCGCTTCAAACAGGCACGGTGCCTAGGTGACCTTTGTCATAACTTTGAGTTCAAGGCGGGATCTTTCACGTGCAGCAAGTGTGGAGAAGTGGCAAACAACCAAAAGCAGGTGAATGGGAAGCTCAGTCACGCTTGTCCGGGCAAATCAAATCCTTCTTCAGAGGTGAGCAAAAAGACTGCCAAAAAGCCAAAATCACTTGATAACATTTCACATGATGTTCATGATGTTTATAAAGGTGATAATTGTTTTCTCTGCAAGAAATGTCCGGCTAGCTGCAGCATTTCCAATAGTGGTCGTTTTCGGCGTGTGGAGTGTTTCGGTGACCGAGCTCATGATTTCGGTTCCCAACGCAAAGGCCTTTTCAAATGTAGCAAGTGTGGTGAGACTGCAGCCAATGTGAAGCAAATGAATGGCAAACTTTCTTTTGCGTGTCCTGGACCATCGAAGTGTGAGGCAAGTTTTGTGCATGACATTCCTGCCAAGCCCGATTCCAAGGGAAACTATGTGTGTAAGCGGTGCAAACGAAGTTCAGTGAAAAGTAGCGTTGCTCGGTTTGCCAAGACTCTTTGCTATGGCTCACATGCTACCAATCGAAGTGATGCGATTCGTGCCAGTCGCTGTGCTGCTGGTTTGTCCTCCAAAGGACTACCTGACCATGTTGCACCGCGATTGCAGGCTTTGCGAAAGTCCAAAGTCAACATGGAGCCTGAGTAAGGCTCCGCCAAATGGTGCTCATATGCTATGTTCTAAGCTACGACCACGTTATCCAGATCAACGACGACTTGAGGCTGACAGTGAGATTGCTGGAGAAGAGGCCGACGACCAGCCAGGATCTGAAGCAGTGAGAAAGCGTTTGGGGCGCATTTGCTCAGCCAAAGCTGGTGGGAATCATGGTTGTTTGTTTAAACAGCTGTTTGTTGTACATTGGTGGGGCTTAGGGTTTGGAACTTTGACGTCTTATTCAATACTTTTGTTTCCTCTCTATTTTCCGCACGTGAGAATGAGAGCCCGTGCTGCAAAAAAGTTGCGCATGTCTCCACCAGGACACGTTCATCAGCAAAGTGACAGTAGAGATCGAGAGTCGCCAGAGCGTGAAGATGGAAATGAAAGCCCAGTGGATGTCGGAAGACAAGCTGCGAGAACAGTTCAAGGAGCAACTCGGCCCACGAAATGTTAGCTACAAGCGCTTGCATAGTGCACATGAACATGGGTCGTGTGACTTTAAAAACTTTAAAGTACAATAATTTCACCAGCTCGCCCTAATTTCACTGCATGAGGTCAAGGGTCAATGCCATCAAGCAGTTTTGTGAACAACGTGAAGGGCTGACGAAGTGCCTTGTTTTGAGTGGACCAGGGTCACAACATGCACAGACATGTGCAGAAACGTCGAACCCGTATTTTGATGATGCTGCCTTTATCTCATTAAACTAGTGTTCGGACATCGGTGGATTCATTTGAGCAGGTCTGAGCATGGTTTGAAAACTGACCCACCCCTTGATTTCAGGTGGGACAAGTACGAATCGAAGACCTTGTATTGGGTGGAAGAGGAGATTTCAGCAGAGTGGGAGCAGTTGAGATCCCGAAGCCATCGGCAGACTTACCACTACAATGTTGAGACCCCAGCCGTGGATGCTATCACGGAGACGTCGGGAGCAGTGCACTTGGACACGAATGAGGCCAGGGAAGCCACAGGACTGGATTGAATACTGCGCGTTTCAAACCTTCAGCAATCATTTTTTATAGCCCGCTAGTGACAGCCCTTCCAGGACTTTCTGCGCCAGGCCAATCTAGTGAAAGGCCGGCTACTGAGAAGCCCCCTCATGGTTCGCAGGCTGTTCTCCCAACAGTTCAGAAGAACCAGAAGCCCTCGACCATGATTTTGAAATACATGGAAGGAATTTCAAAGCGCATCGTGAAGATCCAGGCGCTTCCAATTGAAAACAAACGAGTTGATTCTTTTTTCACTTTCCTTTGGCTTCCCGGGATGTATTGTCTTTCAGGACTTGAAGAACAAGTACGAAAGCATTCCGGAGGCATCACGCACCAATACCCACACCCAGCTACTCTGCCAGATTTTGCCACGCAGGGTGAAACATCCAAGTTTCATTTCATCTTGGGCGCTCCCAGCTGAGGTTCATCGCGAAGCTTCAGAACCTGATTGATGGCTTGGATGCGAAAAATGAGAGCATCAATGTGGTGTATTCCCAGGGAGCAGTCGAGGGATACTCTGAGACGTAGCTTTGTGGCACCTGGGGCTGGTGTTTCCTATTTCCATTTTTCCCGAAAGAAACAGCAAGTGCCGTTTTGTTTTCGAGCCGAGGCATGAAGGTACCTTGATGGCTCTCTTCAAGGAAGCGATGAAAGTGTCATTGCCTCAGCGGAGGTTCAGTTTCAAAGCATGGAAAGCAAGCATGCCCCAGCGGCTGTGGTTTCCATTTGACTTTGATTCCTCCTAAGGGCCCAGGAGTCCGTGAACGTTGAAGCTCGTTCGAAAGCTATCCCACTCCCGAAGGCGAAAGCCGCTCCTGGCAACGAGTCGAAGCCGAAGCCTAAGGTCAAAGCCAAGGCGAAAGCCAAGGCCGAGGCCACGTCGCCCAAGGCGCTGCAAAACAGAAGGCAAAGCGTTAGACAGTCAAGGCATGGGCATGGCAAAGCCATGCTCTTGGGGACAGCCTGTGGCCCATGGCTAATCCTGTAACCAAGTAGGTTCCAGAACCATGGGTTGGCTGGGCAACCACAGGGTAAGCCTTGTGGGTTTTTGGAGTCGCATGACAAGTGCGGCAGACTGCTTGAGAGGTCAGAGGGTGTGACAGTCTGAAGATGTCAGAAGGGAACAGAGAGCCTGTCAACTCAAGTGTGCTTGTTGCGCACGCATCCTCTGCAGCTTGACGCGAGCAGCCTAAGTCTCATTTTGAGAAAGACGAGAGAGCAATGGATCGACGGTGTGGAATAAAGGGATCTTTTTGAGTTTCATCATATGGCCCATTTCAATTGTTTTGAAGTTGCATCTTCCCCAGGAGAAATACCTTGGAAATGGTGCACATGATTGCCTGTGCATTTGACAGCTTCAAATCTGATATGCAATTCCTTTGAGGTTACCCTGATTCCTTCCTTTGCCAGGTGCAACAGAGCCTGGCGTCATGATGAAAAACTTAGCTTTGTCCATCGCAGATGGAGTCCTTTACCCAGTTCCAAGTTTCGAAAACATTGTTTCACATACTACACATCTTCAATGCCGGCCTCACACACGGGGCAACAGGGTCCCTGTCCATGCTGGCCACTTAGGCCCCTGCTACTCGGCTGAAACGCTTTGCTAAAGCTGCCATTGAAGAAGCCCAATTTCAGGGCACCTTTGGAACAGGTGCAATCCGAAGGGCTGGTAATATGACTGAAAAAAAATTGAAGAACTCGGAGCGAGACCTTCTCCGGCTGTTTAGAAACCTGGGTTTGAGTTTGCCATTATGCCCCAGCGTTTTCAAAGTTGGATTGCTCCATGTGCATTACTTGTCTTTGGCTTCATGGTTTCGCTACCTACTCCACAACAGCTCGGAATTTCTTCTTGGTGGCTTCAAAGCCAACACCTACCATGCAGGGGTTCTGCTCCAGTCCTTCTGGGATGCATTCCGCTTGGACCATCATGATCACTGGGTGTTCCAACAGGATCATTTGGATTTCAAAAAGACGGTGCCATTTTTTTTACACCTGGACGAAGGCACAGGCCTTCGGAAGAGCGCAGTCATGGTTTACAACATGCAAGTCGTCTGGGGGCAAGACACTGCCAAGAAGTTCAATGAGATTTTTGTAGGGCAGTCGGGGCGGACTGAGCGGGATGTGGCGCAATACATGCTAGAAGCCCAAACGCATAACCAGAGGGGGTCTACCTACACCACGAGGTACCTCTATACAATCCTGCCCAAACGGTGGTACACCAAGAAGTTTGTGCGAGTCTATGACCTAGTATTGAAAAAATTGACTGAGGAGTCTTGCACATTGGCAAGCGAGGGCATTGCAGGCTGGCATTTCGTTTGCCTTGGTATGAAGGGAGATGCCCCGGCTCTTGCCAAGGCAGGCCACCTGAACCGAAGTTTCCAGACTCTAGCCTTCACTTACTAAAGTTTTGTCTTTTTCTTTTGGTGGGTTTGGCTGCTAGATCCTCCAAGAGACAAGATTTACACCCCGCAACAGGGAACAACCAATTTTGTGAGTACATGTGATGTTTGGGTGTGCGCGTGGGCGATCAAAATACATTCCGGATGGGTTGTAATTTTCAAGTCCACAGCCAAGTGCATGAAAACAATTTGAGGAATTTGGGCTACCAGCTGCCGATTTGCATGGAATGTTTAGCTGGGAAGCCCGAATGCCCTTGGGAAGACACATCCCGAAGGCCGCTGTGGGAGAGTACGATCTCATTGCTGGAGCCATGGGATGCAAGGTCGCCTTCCCCACTCTTGGGGCTGCCATCTCAATCTTTCCGACCAGAGCAAATATTCCGAAAAGACCCGTTTCATATTTTCAAGCAAACCATCGGCGGTCATTTCATTGCAAGTGCAGTGATACTTCTTCTTGATTTTGCATATTGGGACCGCCCTGGCATGCCCAGCAATGCAGATTCTCTACTGGAGTATGCCCATGAAGATTTTGACCATTTCGTGAAAAAGGACTGGCAAGGCAAAGGTGTTGCCCACCTGAAAAATTTCACCCGGGGAATATTTCACTGGTCAAAAGTCAAAAGTTTTCCCTACGCACGAGTGAAGGGCAGCGACTGTATGCTTTGCATCAGGTGGCTTTTGCATCTGATTTTGCATGGATGTGTGCGACAGGGTGAAAATTCAAGACCTCATGTGAGCCTCATCAACCAGCCGTTGGCAGCATGGCATGTGCCGTTCTTGGAACGAATGCTTGGGGCGTGCCAAGCTTCCTTGGAGTTCTTCCATTTGATGCACAGGAATGGTGTTTGGCTGAATGCAGAACTTCAGAGAAAATTGTCTGAGGCTTCCTTTGTTTTTTCTGAAAATTACCAATGCCTAGCCCAGCTGTCACACAACAAGTCATTGAGAAGATTTCACCTTGAGCCAAGCTTACATTATTTTCACCATTACGGTGTGGATTTTCGACGACACCTGGAACAACATGGGAGCTCACCTGCACTGTCCCCAGCGGTGGACAACTGCGAGGCGGACGAAGATTTCGTTGGACGGCAAGCTCGCTTATCGAGGCATTGCCATGCCTCCTCAGTGACATTGCGGACCATAGAGAGGTATTTAATAAAGACTTTCTTTGTGCATACAAATCAGGATTGGGGATCTGCTGCCCATTCCAGATCCAGGAGCTGAGAGGCTTCCGCAGGAGAAAGACAGTCTCAAAGCTTTTGACGGCTCTTTGAGCCGGCTGGGTTGAGGCTGCAGATTGACATAGCTAAGGGGAAAGGATCTTTTTAGGGCAAACGACCCCCAAAAAAAAGGAAAGACCACAAAAAACAACCTGTTTTGAAACGACCCCAAAAACGAAGGGTAGCGGAGGGTCAAGGTAGATATATACATAACAGGATCAAAAGAGGCATCGATGACGATAATATGCTCCAGTGTACCTATCTCTATTGACCTGTTGCTCGCGTAGCCTACCATGACGCGTTTCCCTCATTGCCTCGAGAAAAATTTGAGCCCCAAGCAGCTCAGCCACTCCACGGGTCTTTTTGATTACAGTCCCTCATCGTTGAAGCCAAACAGCTTTACACAGAAACACTTTTACACACGAATTCTGCACACAGAGACGCTTTTTCACCGAGACGCTGTTACACACAGAGCCTCTGACACACAAACATCTTTACACAGAAATGCTTTTACTCACAGACCCTTTTACACACAAACACTTTTACAGACAGACCCTTTTACACACAGACACTTTTACGCACACGCACGCTTTTTCACACAGACCCTTTTACGCACACACACACGCTTTTTCACATTGTCATTGTTGTTGTTGTTGTTGCTGCATGTTTTTCTTGCAGGCATTTCTAAAGCAAAAAACGCGTTCATGTTTAAAGCCCAAACATCGTCAATTCGGTGGTGTTTTCGTGTTTTTTGAAGCGTCTCGGAGCAAAAAACACCGTAAATACCATGTTTTTTTACGCCTCGCAAGCCCAAAACCACGGTATTTACGGTGTTTTTGGCTCCTGGTAGCAAAAACAACGGTATTTACAGTGTTTTGTGGCCGGCACCTAGCAAAAACAGTTGTATTTACGCAGTTTTCAGCATGTTGCAAGAACTACTTTTTCCATGCCAAAAGCCTAAAAACAGTAAATTACAGTGTTTTGGCTTTTGACACCCAATGAAAAACGTCAGAAAACAACCAGAAGTGTCCAAACTGGAGCTTCTCTTTCAAGCTTCAAAAAACCGGGGGGGGGGGCGGCAGCTCATTTTTGGAGCTCTCCCCAGCCAGGCTCCGGCCTCACCTTCCCAAACGGGCCCGGATCAGAGCCTCCCCCCCCCACACCCCCCAGATTAGCTTCGCTTCGCTTCGGTTCACTTATACCTATACTCAGCACAGGCCTTCGGCTGGCTTTCGTAATATATATATATATATATAGATAGATATATATATAGATAGATAGATAGATAGATAGATAGATATATATATATATATGAGCCGCCGTCAAAATCAATTGTTTATGCCTGGTACAAAAATATAAGTTATCGCTCTTTGGGGGGGGCCCTATCGCTTTCCAGTGTTTTGTTCAAATCAACACGAAATACTGCAAAAATGCAAGGGAATTAGCTTCACGGATTCAGATCTAAACTGCCGGGGATGGATTAAGGGCCTTTCGTTGTCTTTGCGTTTGCAACCAAGTTGGGGAGCTATCTAAGCACATTCCTAGACTCTTTCCTAAGCAAGGAAATCTGTTACGATCTCATCTCTGAACTAGAAAGACCGTATTTGATATAGACCAATGGTTCCAAAAAAGAAGCGTTCGTAGCTATGAAGAAGTTGATTAGGCTCCCCAAGTCTGAATACAACGTTGTGGCCTGGTGTCGAGAACCTGTTCACTTTTTTGTTGAGCCCTTCTTCTTCTTGGGATCAAATGAGTCTATCCCTCCTCCGGGGTCCCTTTTTCAACAAAAGGTTATCGCTAGGTTATCGCTAAGGTTATCGCTGAATTGGAACACTTTGACGATCAAGAAAGGGAAGGAAAGAGGAACGTAGAACAAAAAGGACAACTGAAAAAACAGAAGGAGAAAGGAAGGAACAAGAAAAGGAAACAAAGGAAGAAGAAACGACAAATCAAACATGGAATAGATGGAATTCAGAACAAGATTCGAAATCAGAGTTGATTTGGTTCAGAATTCAATTGCGTTTAGTTTTAACATGTTTTAACTGAAAAAAGAAGGAACAAGAAAAAAAGAAAAAGAGAAGGAAACAAAGGAAGACGCAATTCGAATTAAATCTAAACACACAAAGGGCATTCAGAATTAGATTTCAATCTATTGTTTGCTTAATTCAGAATTTGGTTGCGTTCAATTTGGTTTAATTCTACTGCTTTGGGACCTGGGAAGAAAAAAGCAATCTGCCTGCAGAAAGCAATGGCTCAATCACCTTGGGCAGCAAATGAAATGGCAACTGCAAGAAACGCGGGCACTGCAGGTTGATTTTTCATCAATTTTGCCCACAGATGGTTACAGGTTATCGCTTTTTGGGAGGGGCCCTATCGCTTTACATGGTTTGGTGCATTTTCTCAACACGATTGGACCCTCCCTTACTAAAGTAATCTACGCTTATTTTGACCGTATCTCATATAGATATATACATAACAGGATCAAAAGAGGCATCGATGACGATAATATGCTCCAGTGTACCTATCTCTATTGACCTGTTGCTCGCGTAGCCTACCATGACGCGTTTCCCTCATTGCCTCGAGAAAAAATTGGGCCCCAAGCAGCTCAGCCACTCCACGGGTCTTTTTGATTACAGTCCCTCATCGTTGAAGCCAAACAGCTTTACACAGAAACACTTTTACACACGAATTCTGCACACAGAGACGCTTTTACACCGAGACGCTGTTACACACAGAGCCTTTGACACTACACACAAACGCTTTTACACACAGACGCTTTTACACACAGACCCTTTTACTAGGAGACCCTTTTACACACAGAAGCTTGTACACACAGACCCTTTTACACACAAAGTTATTGACAGAGAAACACTTTTACACACAGACGCTTTTACATACTAACATCTTCACACAGAGACGTTAGTACACACAGACCCTTTGTGCCATGCCACGGCTCTGTCCAATTACAGTGCCACATCGTTGAAGCCAAGCAGCTTTACACAGAAACACTTTTACGCACGAAGCCCGCACACAGAGACGCTTTTACACCGAAACGCTTTTACACACAAACCCTTTTACACGACAAACAAACGCTTTTGCACACAGACGCTTTTACACACAGACGCTTTTAAACAGAGACCCTTTTACACACAGAAGCTTTTACACACAGACCCTTTTACACACAAATATATCTACAGAGAAACACTTTTACACACAGACGCTTTTACATACAAACATCTTCACACAGAGACGGTTCGGCATGTTTTTAAAGCCAAAAAATGGTCCAATAGGTGGTGTTTCCGTGTTTTTTTGAAGAGTCTCGGGGCAAAAAACACCGTAAAAAACCGTGTTTTTTGACGCCTCGCAAGCCCCAAACCACGGTATTTACTGTGTTTTTTGCTCCTGGTACAAAAAAACACGGTATTTACAGTGTTTTGTGGCCAGCACCTAGCAAAAACAGTGGTATTTACGCAGTTTTCAGCATGTTGCAAGACGTAATTTTGCCATGCCAAACGCACAAAAACACTGTAAATTACAGTGTTTGGGCGTTTGAAACCAGATGAAAACCGTCAAAAACCACCAACAAGTGTCCAAAATGGAGCTTCTCGTTCGAGCTCCAAAAACGGAAGTGCGGCAGGTCGTTTTTTGAGCTCTCCCCAGGCAGGCTCCGGCCTCACCTTCCCAAAACGGCCCGATTCAGAGCCTCCCCCCCCACACCCCCTAGATTAGCTTCGCTTCGCTTCGCTTATACCTATACTCAGCCCAGGCCTTCGGCTGGCTTTCG